TGCTGAAATTCAATGTCTTGTTACATTGCATATCAGTAAATTATTAATTAGTTGTGCTCACTTTGCAATAAAGGCTGTTTTTTTAAGACAATGAGATTATACAGGGGCTTTCGTAATTTTATTTAATTGACAATTAGGTTGATGTTTGAGTCAGAGTAATTCAGCTTGCTTTTTTAGAGCTGTGTGGGTTCTGCATGACCAATGGGATACAAAGCTTGCCTATTTATTTCAGGAAGGAGAGCAGATAGGAGGTTCTGTGTGGCGTGAGCAGGACTGCTGTGTAAGAAGGGATTGTCCTATCCCAGTATACCTGGCAGTTTTCCATAATCACTTTTCAAGGTAAACTTGTGCAGCTGCTGAAAATTTAATCACAACAAAACTATCTTTTTGTGCTTCTGACTGCTCTTGACTTCCTAAAGATGGAGTCCAGCATGTGGGACTATTGTCCATATCCACATGTCTCAAGACATGTTTCACTTCAGAAGATTTAATACTTTATGAATTCTTGTTTGCTGTAGGCAGGATTTAAAGTATTACCCCCACTCCCAACTTGATTAAGTTGTGGGGAAGAAGGAAGTGAGGTACTGTAAGTTGTTCATACAGAATAATTTGTAGAGCATTTTATGTCAGCTTTAACAGTCAAGTGGGTGCTAGCAGAATATAAATCTCCTGATCAAAAGAAGAGAACTTTCTGTTAAGAGGTTTTATTATTGCACTAGCAATTAAGGTTAAGAAAGTGTTCTAGCCCCATAGTTTTCACTTGATAATGGAAACTTTTTATCATTTAAGCTGAAATCCTTAGCAAAACATGGTTTGTATGGGGCTCTTTACTCTGGTCGTACTATACAGATGAATGTGCTTTCAACTGAAATGTTTCGCTTCCACTTTCTCAATCTCACAAATGAAAATTGGAAAGTAATGTTTAAATACATGTATTTTCCCCATTGCACTCAAAAAATCTACTTTTGTTTGCTTCTTTGGCATTCTTTGCAATCTGAAGTTTTACTGTTTCAATGTCTTGATGCTATTTTTGCTGTCCTAATAGCTTGAGTTCCCCAGAGTGCGCCCAAACATTAAGGCTTAAGAGCAAATCCAACCACAGTGTTTGTGTAGTTCCTCGTAGTACTGTTTCATGGAAAATTTCTGCAAGCTATAGTAGTTGCTGTAACTAAGAATATGAGCTGAGACACTAGAGAACAAGACCTGACCAACATGATAGTGGATCTTTGCAGAGCCACACTGTAGAATGGCATATCTCGTGCTTTGATCCAAGTGGGAGAGCTGATGCTGAGATCCTAGCACCCGTGTAGTACAAGGAAGAGTCACTCTTGTTAGACAGAAATTCAGATGAGAAGCTGAGTGCCTCCTGCTTTTGTTCAGGAAGAGTGTTTTTCAGACAGCCCTGAAGCTGAAGGCTGTTGAACTAAGATACAGCATTTGTTGGATCCAGTTCTTGGTTTGGGGTTATGCTTATGACACAGGGGTATAGAACTGATCTTAAGTGCTCCCCTGTCCACTGGGTTTGTCCATCTTGCTCCTCTGAGGTGTATTGGTTTTCACTGGTTCTAGAGGAGAGTAGAGAATGTCCCCTGCTCTTGCCTGGTGTCTAAAACACTGCCATGAGGTGGGAGCACAGAAACAACTACTTTTACAATGGAGCTTAATTAGCTTATGGAAGGGATTAGAGGAGAAAGGGCTGTAAGGGCTGGTGTCTGCGTCCCTGGTATTGCAGGCTCGATGTTCCTAATTCAGCTTAATGTAATCTGGTGTCTGACTGGCTAACCTTGTTACACTGATACAGTGCTGCCAACCCTGAGAGCCTCCCTTTCCCTAATCCCACCCCCCTCCTCTTATGGAATAGTTAAAACGGGAGGAGAAGGTGCAAGATTGGTGAAAAGCTAGAATAATGACAGCGTGGGACTGCAAGGCTTATTACATTATGGGAAGAAGAGGACCACTGTATAGATTGTAGTGCTAAAAATATTCCCTGTGACGTGGGACAGCGACACTAGCCACATGGTAGCTGTGACTTGTTCTGGTAATGTGCTCTCTTGGGGCTGTCAGAGTGCAGGATAAGGTTCCAGTGTGGTGGCAGAGACACAACACTCAAAACCACGTAGACATGACCTGTGTGACTCTGTGTGGAGCAGAAGCAAATTTGAAAGTCACAGAATAAATGACAATGAACTAGGCAGGAACTGAAGGTGTGAAAGAAAAGGTGGGATCAGGTTCTAGTGCCTAGGAATCATGTTATCTGGGATAAGGGCAGTACTCTATTTGGAGGACTCAGACACTATCCTGGGCTACTTTGAAGAATACACTGCTTTGACCTGTGTACGGACAAATAAAAGACTATTCAGAAAAAAGCCAAAGCAGCTGCTGAGGATAAAAGGTGCAGATAGTGTGTGTAAGTGGAGAAATTAAATGCATGCTGCCTCACAGGCCTGTGTGCTATGAACTCATGAGTGTGCACAGCAGAGGGAGAAACTATTCAGAGTGTATTGTATCATGTGGAGGGCAAGTTTCCTGATTAATTTTGCCAGACAGTGGTATATACCATCACTTTGGCCTTGTTTTCCTGCTTCAGGAAAGTTAATCATACTTTAAATTTCTGGTGTTGGATATGCCTTGTGGTGATTCAGGAGTGTGCCTATCTTCCCTTTTGCTTTTATCCTAGGTCCAACACGAAAAATGCCCCTGACTGCCAGTGCCATGGACTTTTTTCAGCTCTTTGTCCCTGACAATGTACTAAAGAACATGGTGGTCCAAACCAACATGTATGCCAAGAAATACCAGGAGAGGTTTGGTAGAGATGATGCCTGGGTTGACGTCACCTTGACAGAAATGAAGGCCTTCTTAGGCTACATGATATCAACCAGCATCCACCACTGTGAGTCTGTTCTCAGCATTTGGAGCAGTGGCTTCTACAGCAACAAGAGCATTGCACTTATCATGACACAATCACGGTTTGAGAAGATCCTGAAGTACTTCCACATTGTGGCCTTCCGCTCGAGCCAGACGACGCATAGCCTCTACAAAATCCAGCCTTTTCTGGACTCTCTGCAGAATGGCTTTGACTCTGCTTTTAGACCTTCACAGGCCCAGGTAAGAGTTAACCTGTTGGCAGGGAACATCTAACCTCTGTGCTCTTGTTCGTCTCACTGTGATAGAAAGTGCAGAGCACAGCTGCCTGAGGAAGGAGCTGGAGCTTCCCAGTGTGAAGTCATGCTGGTCTCCCTTTATGAAACGAGAAAGCAGCACTGTCCTATGTGAGTGCCCATCAATGTCTGACTTCCAGCTCTGCAGTGCAGGCAGCAAGCATGTTTCAGTGGGAATGGTGCTCTCCAAGCTGGAGCTGTTTGCTTTAGTGGCCTAAACAAGCCTGGAGGCTGCTTAGTGAGGCTGGTGCCGCTAGGTTTTGCTGTCCTGAGGATGGGAGGTTGCAAGCTGTACCTTTGAGGCAGAGTGGAAAGGGCAGAGCTGATGCAGCTGGGCTGAGGGGAAAACTGTTACCTGTTCCTGCTACAGGCTGAGGGTTGGATGGAGGGGCTGAGTTTGCTAGATGTGACTGCCCCTGACCTGAGTAGTAGGGGCTCACTAGACGGTCCAGCAGCACAGCTACCTCCTCACAACTGGGCAAAGGGAAGATGAGCAGGGGGACAGGTGAAAATCTTTCTGAATACACATCATACACTTTCAAAACTTTGTTCCAGTATAAATGATCTCTTTTTGGAGCTGTTGCTACTGGTCATATTTAGAAGTCTGGAAAGAAAAAGGAGTAAGCATTACTGCTTGAAATAACTTTTCAATCTGCTCTCTGTTTTCAGAATATAAATATTTCACTTAGACCTTTGGAAAGGGTTTTGTGCCCATAGTCCTTTTTGTTCTTCCTGTTTCCCTTCTGGTGCATCACACTTTCACCCACTGCACAAAAGTATTGAAACATGGACTCATCACATCCATTGAAGTGTGGCTAAAATAAATTGGGAGTTATTACAGTTTTTTCTATTTTATAGACAATAAAACCATACCTGTATAACTCATGAGAACACAACTGCCTGAAAAGCTGTTAAGGTAGGGAAGAGAGGAGGGAGGAATGTTCTCACTAAGCTGTGCCAGTAAGGTACGTTTCCATTAAGACGAAACAGGCAATGAGAGACACAGTATTGTTGGGACTGAGCTCTCATTAAGGTATGAAATCTAATCCTTATGGCCACTGACTTCAATGGGCAGAAGATAAAGGCTTCAGAAATGTGATCACCATGTCTAATGTTAATGCTTATAATGGTGTGCTGTGGGACATGCTGTGAGTGCAAATCCATTAAAGGATGAGATTTGATTTGCATGTATATCCCTTCTCCCATTCCCCATCCTGAACAAGGTTTGAGAGCTGAACTGACCAAATCGCAATGTCATGTTTGCAATGGCAAAATACCTGAATCTCCACCAGCAAAATATATGCTTGTCCAGAGCTTTAGTAAGAAAGATAAGGGGTAAGAAGTAGTATCAGCCCAATTCTCTTCCTTCTCCCTCCACTTCTCTGCTCCCTTGTCAGTGTTTACGTCAGTAATTTATATGCAGCATGTTTCAGTGGTATTGAGTGGAACAAAAAGCACTAAAATACAGCTTCAAAAATAACTCTGAAGAAAGAATAATGTTTTGAATCTGTTGTTAAAAATACCCTAGCGTACCTCCGGTAGCCTAGTGGGGGAGGTTCCAGGCCTTCTTCGGAAAGGAGCCTTGTGCATAACATCCTCCTGGGTGCCATCAGTCAGGAATGCACACTACCTGTCTCAAGAGATGAGGACCCCATCTGCTCAAAACAGCAGGAAAGACCTCTCCCTGCAAATTGTCTTGAGTGCAGATTAGCAGACTGCAGTAAACATCAAACCCAGAATGTCAGGTCCAGTGACAAGTGATAGAAATAATGAAAAATAACAACCCAATTGCACAGAAATAAATGGAAAAGATGAGGTGAAAGAGTCAATTAGATGGGCTTTTGGTTGTGCTGCCTCTAAAAGCAGTTTGGAAAGAGGGACCCAGGTTTCTGTAATCAGTGAAATCCCAAGTTCAAAATAGATTTGTTGCTGAAGGTATACTTGTATCTTAAACATGAAACTGGTGGTATCTGGTTAGCTGCAATCTGTGCTCAAGTGTTATGGTACTGTCTTGTAAGTGGCATCAAGCAGCAGAATGACTTGGGCTCCTTGCTGATGAATGCAGCAAAATTAGTGGATCTTGTAGGTAGACGTGGTACTGACTTTCTTCCTCTGGCAGTGTGGACTCACAGAACACAGGTTAGGAAGATGCCATGTGTAAGTCATCCTTATGGACAGAACAGAGACAGTCTGCATCCAGCAAGCAGTGTAACATCTGCCTTCACATTATTTCTTATGTATATTTGATCTTTTCTTTTTGTAGAGCTAGAAAAGATTCTTCAAGTGGAGAAAATATTTAGGATTTTATATCTCATCTGTGGCCCCTCTCCCCGCCACCCCCCCTCCAAAAAAGGGGCCTGCAAAAATGACACCATGAGTTGCTATGAAAAGAAACAGGGAGAGAGAGAGCTATGCTGATATACCAAAACAAAGAAAACAATCTAGTGAATTATAATTATTTTGCTAAATATACCAAGCAAACAAAGGGAAATAATTACTTTCCAGCTTATGAAGGGATTGAAAGCCCAGAACATTATAATTGTGTATCAGCAGTACTAGCTTCAGTTTCCAAAGTTAAAAAATGGTGTTCTGAGCTTGATTGGATAAAGTGACAGGAATATTTTCTGCATCTTATCCCTCCTCAATATCTTCTGTATAAATAAGTGCCACCTCTACCTGAGCAACAAGAGGTGGAGTTTTGGGTGTGTTCCTGGAATCAGTGGTGTCTCTTCACTGCTTAGCTTTGTAGCTGTGCTACTGTCTTCAAGTCTGAAGGCAGGGAGGATGCCCTGCCTGTGCTCAGGAGGTACACTGCAGCAAATTCAAGGATACTCACCAGCCAAGGATATATACTGAATTCCAGAAACCAGAGGAGTTCAGGGAAAATAACATCACTGCTCAAATACCCTTCTGTGCCTGCTGAGTATGTATATGCTTGTCAGCAGGATGTGACTAGACAGGATTGCTGTCTCTGGCTGCTCCTGACTGCTGTGGGAGGAGAGGTCAGGAGCACAACCCAGGTACTTGTCTACTTTGCTCTCTCTCTAAAATACCTTCTTGTTGGCGTCTTGGAACCAAACAGTTCTGCATTTGTCCACTGAAGTGTCATCTGGGAGCAGTCAGCTTAAGTCCTTATCTCCAACAGAAGTGAATTCCCTGGCAAAAAGAGAGACCTAACTCCAGCCTCTTGCTCCAAGGTCGTGGTGCTAAACTTTGGCCAGTTACTAGGCAGCTTGTCTGTGTTTCATTGTTGGTGGTATTGTAGGGTACAGCTAAGCAGTTTGAACCTGGTTCTTCCAAACCAGCTCACAGCGTATTTGAAAACATGGAGGGACAAAACCAGGCTGATGAACTTGCAGCTCTTTTGTGTCCTCATGATTAAATGTTCATTTGGTATGGGGTGTTTTCAAATTATAACATCTTGCTCAAATCAAACCTCTATGTTTCAGTTTTTCTGTTTTCAAAATGATTCTTTGGGAGTTAAGAGTGCTGATCCCAAACCAGGACTGTTCTGTCTTGGGCCTTCTGTGAGTGTGACATAAATATGTAAATATTCAGAGAACATAGGCCAAGTATAAGACTTGGAGCCAGAGAAAGACAGGGGAGCAGTAAGAATATTGAATAGCAAGGTAAATTTCTGATGTCCTGTAGCTCTTGGCCAGTTGGTCTTCTGGTGAAGCCAGATTTTAGGGAGAGTTTGGCAACAGAAAATGATGAAACTTCATTGCTATTTTAAAATTGCATAATGGTAATGAAGTGCTGTAAGAACTGATATATTTTTTCTAAGAGGGTTGATTGAAGACTGAAGAAATGGTCAGAGGAGCATGAACTCATGGCTCCATTGGATGTGGGAGTTGACCTTTGAATGTCGAAGAGGATCAGTAAAACATGGGTAGGCCAAACAGGACTTTCAAAGTGAGAAGAGAAAGAATCTGTCTGATATTTGAAGAAGAACTGTCAGAGAGAAATAAAGTGATGTGGGTAGTGTGATGGACTAGGAGAACAGCTTTCCAGCAGTAGTTTCTAGGGCAGGTTTGCATTATGTTGAGGCCAAAAGTAAAACTGTTCTAGGATGGTTGTGGGCTTGGTTGTAAACCTGGCTGGCTGGGTGGATTGTTGCTCTAATGTGAGTAACATTTTAGAGCTCCTATTCAGAAAGTGTGGAAAATGCAGGCACTGCCTGGCTGAGAAGATTTTGCAAGGAGTAAGAGGTAAAGACTGACATTCAGTTTCCGTGGCCAGTGGGATCTGCAGCAGGAGGAGAGAGATGCCTGCAATGACCAAGAAAGGAGATAGTGAGAGGTTATCTTAAGGGAAGGGAGATGCTCTCAAATGCAGCATAATGAAATCAGAACTGACAGCTAGATATGCAAGCAGAGATGTCAGATAGTAGCAAGAGAATTTAGTTTAGACAGGTGGAGCTTAGGAGCAAAGAAGCCAAAGCACAAGCCACTGTAGCAGAGGGAATGACTGACTCTATGCATACAGGTGCAGTTACCCAGGGGACTCTGTTTGCAACTGGATGGTACCCACTAAAAGCCAGAGACAAGACAAGCTGAGGCAGTTTCCCCAGGAGACAGGCTGAAGAGACAGCCACTGTTGTGGATTGTTATGGAGCTAAGAGAAGATGAGTTATCTCAAGGACATGTTTGTTCATTATCTAAGTAAATGGAGTGCAGGAATTCAAGTACAAAATACTTGGTGGTTCTGGGTTTTGTCTACAAGTCTGTTTGGGCTGTGGTGAGAGCAGAGTGGGTGGAACTTGCATGGAAAGAGCTTTGGAAACGGTCTAAAATGGCGAAGAAGGAAAGGCACTCCTGACAGTGGCTACCTGTTTTGTTCTGTGAGTGAGAGATGTTGTGAGATGAAGCAATTGCTGGAGTCTCATCTTGGAGTCTTGCCTCTCCAGCACTTGGAGTGCATGTACATATTGAGGGGAAAACAAGTGAAAGTTTGGCCAGTAGATCTACCAGAGATGAGGTTGATAAAAAGAAAAATTAAAAAAGCCACTGTGATAGCTGTGGGGGAGTAAAGCAACTAGATGAGAGGCTTCTTAGACCTGAACAGAACTGGGCATTTGAGAGAAGAAAATGGGGATGGTTTCTATTATTTCTATCTATCCACAAGATATCTTGCATCACAGGAAGTCAGAAGAGGAAGAGGGGAAGGCTTGGGGAGTGAGTCAAAGATGGTGAAGAGTCAGCCAGGAATACATGTAGGAGTCAATTAAGCCTGAAAGTACATTTTTATCAAGGAAGAAAGCAGTATGCCATGGAGGCAGTAAGCTCCCTCCTGGAAAAGTGTTTATTTCAGCAACAGCAAGAATGGGGAATGGAGAAGGAACAAATACCACTTTGCATGGGGTTTTGGCAAATAGATGGATTTGAGACTACAGGAGGAGCAAGGAGCCTGAGAACATAGGAGGGTGAACAAACTAATAGGAGTGGCCAGTGGCATCAGGGCTAACTTTTATCATGAGAAAACCGTGTCAGTGCCAGGGGCAGCAATTGGCTCCCTTTGAAAACAAGATGAGGATCAGCTGATCTTGCCCTACTCTGTTGACATTTTTGTTCCCTCTTTGCAGCAGTTCAGTACATACTTAGTGGAGCATTTGTTGTCTTATGAGGACATGGAAATGGCTTATATATACAGGGGAAAGGAGGGGAAGCAGTGAGTCCTAGGGGAAGGTAGGGCTGAGCATGGTCAGGGAGAAGAGAAAGATGGGGAGATATTTTAAAAATTCAGATTTGCTTTCTAAATTAAAGGCTGAG